CAAAACCCAACTGGGAATCCCCGAACTCTTACTGGGAGGCCCCCAAAGCTCTACTGGGAGCAACTGGGAGCCAACTGGGATCTAACTGGGAGCACTGGTGCCCTCCCAGTTGATCGTTTCGGGGGCGACGTTGGCGGCGACGGCCCAGGGACCCTCCAAGGGGAGGGTGAGTTTGGGGCACTTTGGGGCTTTTTGGGCATTTTGGGGAATTTTGGGGATTTTGGGGGATTTTGGGTCAATTTTGGGTCAATTTTGGGTCAATTATTGGTCGATTTTGGGTCAATTTTGGGTCAGTTTTGGGTCAATTTTAGGTCGATTTTGGGGTCAATTATTGGTCAATTTTGGGTCAATTTTGAGTCAATTTTGGGTCAATTTTGAGTTGATTTTGGGTCAGTTTTGGGGTCAATTATTGGTCGATTTTGGGGTTAATTTTGAGTCAATTTTGGGTCAGTTTTTGGGTCAATTTTAGGTCTGTTTTGGGGTCAATTATTGGTCAATTTTGAGTCAATTTTAGGTCAATTTTGAGTCAATTTTGGGTCGATTTTGGGTCAGTTTTGGCTCAATTTTGGATCAATTTTTAGGACAGTTTTGGGTCAATTTTGACTCAGTTTTTGGGTCAGTTTTGACTCAATTTTTGGGTCAGTTTTGACTCAGTTTTGGGTCAATTTTGACTCAGTTTTTGGGCCAGTTCTGGCTCAGTTTTGGGTCAATTTTAGGTCAATTTTGACTCAGTTTTTGGGTCAATTTTAGGTCAATTTTAGGTCTGTTTTGACTCAGTTTGGGGCCAGTTTTGGGCCAGTTCTGGTTCAGTTTTGGGTCAATTTTGGGTCAATTTTGACTCAGGTTTTGGGCCAATTTTAGGTCAATTTTTGGGCCAGTTTTGACTCAGTTTTGGGTCAATTTTGGGTCAATTTTTAGGACAATTTTGGGTCAATTTTAGGTAAATTTTGGACCAGTTTTGACTCAGTTTTTGGGCCAATTTTAGGTCAATTTTGACTCAGTTTTTGAGCCAATTCTGACTCAGTTTTTTAGCCAATTTTAGCCCAACTTTAGGTGGATTTTCTCCCAGTTTGGCCCAGTTTGGCCCAGTTTAGACCCAGTTTTCCCCCCCCCAGGCTCGAGCCGCCCTGGGCTTGGCCGTGGTGGCCTCGATCGTGTCCTTCCTGGCCCTGGGGCTCCAGGGGCTCCTCGTGGCCTACGGGTGCCCCTCCTGCTACAACCTGGGACCCCCCGCTCGGGTGAGTCATTTCCAGGGGATTTTGGGGCATTTTGGGGCAATTTGGGTCATTTGTGTAATTTTTTGGGTAATTTTGGGGTAATTTTGGGTCAATTTTGGGTCATTTTGGGGCATTTTTAGGGCATTTTTGGGTCATTTTTAGGTCATTTTTGGGTCAATTTTGACTCAATTTTGGGTCAGTTTTGACTCAGTTTTTCGGTCATTTTTGGGACAGTTTTGGGTCATTTTGGGGCAGTTTTGGGTCATTTTGGGTTATTTTTGGGGCATTTTTAGGTCAATTTTGACTCAATTTTGGGTCAGTCTTGACTCAGTTTTTGGGCCAATTTTGACTCAATTTTGGGTCATTTTTGAGTAATTTTTGGGTCAGTTTTGACTCAATTTTGTGTCAGTTTTGACTCATTTTTTGGGTCAATTTTGGGTCAGGTTTTGGCTCAATTTTGACTCAGTTTTTGGGTCATTTTTGAGTCATTTTGGGGTCATTTTGGGGCAGTTTTGAGTCATTTTTGGCTCAATTTTGACTCAATTTTGGGTCAATTTTGACTCAGTTTTTGGGTCATTTTTGGGTCATTT